GGGGGGGCGGGGGGGCGGCTCGCCAGGCTGCCGCTCGTTCGCGTTTCACGACGGTGCCGTCGCTAAAAACTCGGTAAAGAGCAAGAATAATCCAGGCGTCCCGCGAAACGAGAGTCGGGGCTGTCGGGAAAGAGAGAAACGGGGAAAATGAGATGGTTTTGTTGCAGCATCAAAGCGGGGGGTGCTTCGAGAGAAGATCTGAGCGCTTCAACTCAACCTGTGCCCCACGTTGGGCTCCGGTTTAGCTTCTCGTCGTTAGGAAATCGGCTGAAAGCCCGAGGCGCAAGATCTAACATCCCTCCGAGCATCTCCGCTGGCATCCACCTCCGGGATATTCCCCCCTTCCCCCAATTTGGCTTTTCGAGTCCCCGTGGAGGAGACTTTTGCTCATTTTCATCGGTTCAGGCTTTAGTACGTGAAACTTCATTTCTTTTCCGCCTGTTTTGGGCAATTTAGGCTTTGGCTCATGGAAATTTTTGTTTCTTTTCCGCCTGTTGTCAGACATTGAGCCTTCGCTGCTACGTGAAGATTTTGTTCCTTTTTCGCCCGTTGTCAGCAATTTAGGCTTCGGGACACAAACCTTTTGTTGCTTTTTGGCCCATTTTCAGCCACTTGGGCTTCAGTACACGAAAATTTGTTTCCTTTTCGGCCCGTTTTCAGCAATTTAGACTCGCTACACAAAAACTTCTTTCCTTTCCGCCCGTTTTCAGCATTTTATGCTTTGCTACGTGAAAATTTGTTTCTTTTAGCCCCTTTTCAGCAATTCATGCTTCGTTACACAAAGACCCGGCACTTCCTCGGCCCCCCGGTTACTCACAGAGCAGCGATTTTCCCATCCCGGCGTCTCCGCAAACTATTTTATCAAGATCCTGCAAAAATAGCGATTCAGCAACAGGGGCTTAAACGCGTTTTTCGGCTTGAAGGCGCGGAAATCAAGCGAGCGAGCAGCCGCCGCGGAAAACGAAGCCGGTTCCTTCCGTCTCTCCTCCTCTTGAGCCTTTTCGACGCTTTCTGCACCTTTTATCGGTGCCCAGAGAAAATCCTCCC